TATGACTGCCAGACCATACTGTATGTTGGGTTTTTTTTTTTAATGCTCTAGCAAGTCTGTCCCCCCCCCCCCGCTTTCTTATAACAAACTTATTAGAGCAAATATTTCTATATACAAAGAAAAAAAGATGAAATTGTGAGCTTCTATTATGTATAATTCTTTTTTTTCCCAAAGTGTGTATTAAACCAGATAGTAACAAAATTACCCCATTTGTAACTACTCCTCTGAACTTCTCTTCTGCTTTTAATTCTTTATTACTGCTCTTTTCTTCTTTTAGACAGTTTTTCTATCTTTAGCACTAGCTCTCAAGGAAAACAAGCAAAAACTCCACAATGACCATGTCTGCCAAAGTGTTATTTTGCATACTCCTAATCCCTCACCCACCTTCATCTTCAGTCTTTTAAAGTCATGACTAGCAGTTTTCTAGAAATTTAGAAGTTTTTTTTTCCCCCCTTAAAGATCTGTAAGGTGTGAGGGACAAGGGAATGCTATCAGTGATGACCCAGCAAAGGCGAATAAGAATGGCCAGACAGGTAAAGAGAGCAGTGTCACAAAACCTGAAAGTGGGGGAAGATGGTCTTGAAATGCTGCCCTGAGAGGTCAGAGAATTTGGTAGTGGTAACAGGAACCTCGAAAGTCACCAAGTCCAACCCATAATGTTACAGATAAGAAACTGAGGCCCAGAGAAGGAGTGGTCACACAAGTAATAAACCGCACAGGGAAGCTTCACACCCTGGTCTCCTGACTCCAGATATACATTATAGTAAGCTGTCTCTAGTTTTATTTTTACTTCCCAAATACAGAAACTTCAACACAGTTACTTTTATTTACTGCAATGTACTTGCCACATATTAAAAATTTTTTTTAATTGTGGAAAACTAAGGAAACTGCCGTTTATGATATAAAGTAAACCTGAATTTTTGAGTTAACCTGTTGTTCGTTTGCTTGATTTGGGTTTTTTTAGGAGTGTTTGTTTTTGCATCTGTGCTGAGCCAGATGTACTTAGACCACAAAGATAAAATAATTCCAAATTCAAATATTGAGAAAAGCTTTGCTTTTTAAAAAAAATCCTAAGTATTATAAACATAGTTGAGTAACCACTCAGTTAGGAAAACTACACATTTTTTAAAACTTACAATGTCAAATATCTTAAACCTTTTACAAGTCACTGAAGGTTGGGGTGGTGGTGGAGGAATGTAAAATCCTGAAGAATATGGGAAGAGCATCTGATGGTCAAACTTTGTATCAATCTGAATCACGTACCACAACTAGGAATATTTACATCAGTGGTTGTTTTTTGCTCACTACCCAGTAGTCTGTGCTAGGAAGAATCACAGCCCTTCCGGCCATTTAGGTTGGCAATGTTCACTCTAAGACACTTGGGAGATTCATGAATGCTCAGTTTCCCTTCCAAAAAATTTGCTGTATTTGGTTTTTCTTATAAGTTTGATATGCTTTCAGGACAGATGATGTAATAAACATGTTTGATTTTCCAAGTATTATAGTACCCTACTACATGTTTTAGATAACTAAAATAAATATAAAATGAGGGGTTTTTTAATATTTTATTGATATCTTTGTTTTTTACATCGCCTAGATATAATATAATATAGCTCTTCTTCTTGTACATCCCAGAGAATCATTTTTTCATGACAAAGAACAAAAAAAGGGAGGGGTGGAGAACAAATCAGTATAATTAACCGTGTTGATAAGATCTGACTTTATGTGTGTGTGTGTGTGTGTGTGTATATATGCGCACACACATAACATATACCCACATTCCTCAGCTAATTAAGCAAAATTATTTACAAATTTTCCTTTATTTCAAACAGCCCGACATCCAAAATTGTGCAGTTCATCTAGCACAATTCATGGCACAATGATGACATGGTACACCCTTTGGGAACCGCTGGTTTCGATGAATCACTATGATGGTCACAAAGAAGCCTTTATTTGTCTAAAATCTTTGGTTGCTACTTCAGAAGTCATAGCAGCTCACATTTCTGAAGCGCCTTAAGATTGACAAAACATTTTCCTCTTAATCCTGTGACATCGGCAGCCAAGTATGATTACTATTGTTTTACTGAGGCTTAAATACTTTATTTAACAGAAAGGTCAAGTTACTTGTACACAGTCACACAGCTAGTACATTATGGCCAGAGCTGAGATCTACTGATCCCAGGAACAGTTCCTATATGTCACTAAAGCACACTGGGGCTTCTTTGCCACAGGATCAGAATGTGACACCTCAATGAAATGGTAGCCACCTCCTAGTAATCATCTTCCCTGATTCCTTAGGTGACCAGCATGCAGTTAAGCCACCAGACCTTTGTAGATTGGTATGATTTGCCAGGCTAGGTAGCACAGTCGATAGAGTGCTGGGCATGGAGTCAGGAAGACTCATCTTCGAGAGTTAAAATCTGGCCTCAGATACTTATTAGCAATGTGACCCTGCGCAAGTCACTTAATCTTGTTTGCCTCCTGTACCTTTTAACCTTTAGGTCATTTCTTGGGTCTTATCTGACACCTTTTTCAATAAACATCTCCTCCCAAGTCAATTTTACAACTTGTTAAAATATAGCAAAGAAAGAAATTTTAATAGGTTAACAGTTCCTAGTACTTAAAAGATAGATAACCATTAAAACTAAAAGGTCATAGTTTCCCCCGCCCTCATCGTTAACATTATTAGGACTAAGGTTACTGTCACTCAACTCACATTCATAATCAGTGGGGGAAAAACTATTTTTTTATTAGCAAAAGGATAAAAAGGAGAGGAAAAACTGAAGGTGGGGAAAACAAAAAATGAATATAAATGACCTTTATATTCAGCTCAAAAAATGACAAGAGTTTAAAAAAAACCACAAATTAAAACTGCTCAGAAAACAAAGTATAAAAAGTGGCAGACTTAAATTTTCTCAACTTGAGAAGCATAATGTTAATGGAAAAACTGCTTCTGGAGAGAAGAAATAAAGAAGTCAATTAATCATAAATGATATTCAATTTTTTTTAAAAAAGTGTTTGAACTTGGTAGCTTAAACCCAAATATGATAGTTTAAAACAACTGCTAATGTCACTATAATGAATTCTCAATTATTTTGAGATATCTAAACTTTTTCTTTCCCCAGTGCCTTAGCACAGTGCTTTTAACAAATGTCTATAATACTTGAATGACTAAATGACCATAGTATTTCATCTATTTCTCTCTCCCATGTGTACTGAATAAACTTACTGACTGTACCACCCTGGGCAAGACACTTGATCTCTCTGGGCTGCTGTTTCCTCATGTGTAAAATAGGGTTGATAAAAAGCAACTACATAAGAAATACAGGAAATGGGGTACAGAAGTCTATCCTGCCCTACAGGAAAATAGAAGGGGAAGGGGATAAAAGAAGGGGAGAGAGATAGAAGAGAGGACAGACTAGGGGAAGGGATATTCAGAATGCATGCCATCTTGGGGTGGGAGGAGGGGGGAGATGGGGTATAAATTTGGGATTCAAAAACTTGTGGGAGTGAATGTTGAAAGCTAAAAATAAATAAATTTATATTAAAAAAAAGCAACTGCAAGATTATTATTAGAAGGGCCAAATAAAATAATGTATGTAAAACTGTTGGCAAATTTTAAAGCGCTGTATGGTTATACATCATTATGACTGGGGCATTATGGGAGGATTTTTTTAATGTAACCTTAGAGTTTTAAATTTCTACTGAAGTCATCTTATTACATCAAGAATTGTATAAGCCTTAAAGCACTACATAAATGGAGCCATATTTTGCATCACGGCAATCACTTTCTTTCCTTTTCTTTTTAAATTGAAACTTCAGTTTTAAATTTCTACTCAGGTTCTATTCTTATGCCCTGCCCTATCATGACTTGGAAGTAATCATGAGTCAAAGGCTGTGTGTGTTATGAAGGCGCAAGCTGTGGCAGGTTCTACCCTGCTGGAAAGACTCTGACACCAGCCTGGTAAACAGACTGTCCCAATAAGCTTGGAGAGGCTTGTAACCACTCTGATGGCAGGATGATGAATTTTCAGCCACAGGAACCCTCGAAAACCATCTAAGTTGTGGAGGGGTTATCATGTGCATCTGCAAAGAGGGCCTACACCGAGGAAAAAACAGATCCCTGATAGATGGAAGTGTTAAAGTTACCTGTTTACATGACTTATCTTTCCTACTGGACTACAGGCCAGTAAAAGGCAAGAATACTCTCCCCCACCCCCTGCTCCAACTGAGCACAGTGACTTCCAGATGGTAGGAACTTGGTAAATGTTTGTTGAGTTTAATTATCTTGGTTCTCTTTTACTACTAGGAATCCTAACAATTTACATTTATATAGAACTCTGTAGTTATAAAATGCTTTCACATAAATTCTCAGTAGGTACAACAACCTTGGGAGGTCATCGGCATAAATGACTATTTCATTCAGCCTCTTTGTCCTATGAGGAAAAAGGCTAATAGAATTTATTTTTGTGAAGCATATGAAGAGCTACAAGAACAAAATAAATGGATATAATTCCACTGAAAGATGTACAAAGTGAATGACTACGTCCCAGACCCTTCAGCTACTTTGGTCCTGAGTGGGAAACACAGCTGCAATCCTAACAGACACCTCCTATGAAGGAAGGTTGTTGTCCATCCTGGGAATGACCAGCTTTGATTACCCCCATTCACGATGAAGTAGGTTGGCTGGAGACAACATTATTAGGCCACAGCAGTACATCTATAAACCTTAAATAGTTCTATAAATGTGAGTTGCTGTTAGAGTTGGCACACATGCAAATATGTTATATCTCAATATACACCCAGGAATGGGGTTTGGGAGGCAGGAGAAGACTTAATAAGAAGAGCAGACATGGTAACACAGCATAACACAGAGAAAGCAGTCAAATAAGTAACACACAGTATTGGACGTGTATGGATGCTAACATATACACATAACATACATACATACATATATAACATATACAGCTTCATATTACATGATAAGAAAAGCTTCTTACCTTTTATATCTACTTGAAACAGCCCTAGGTGTTTCCTATTGTAAACAAAAAAGAGTAACACATTTTAGGAAATTTTGTTCAAGTACACAACTTACAAACTTCAATACAAAAGATTCAAAAGATGAATTGGGGGAAAATATCTAATATTGAAATGAACAATTTGGTGACACCAATCATTACTTTTGTTTTATTTACTTATTTGAAACTGGGTCTCCCTATTTCACTAGGCTAGAGGTCAGGACCACTCATAGATCTGATTTCCCTACTGATCAGTGTAGAAGTTTTGACTTCTTCTGATCAGGCCCCGGGCTGGCTGGCCCCCTCTAAAGGGACCTGGCAAACCTTCTCCCGTAGCCCCACCACACTACTGTCAGACTTAAGGAGGTCAGATGCTCATCACTCCCAAGTTCAAGTGATTCCCTCAATTTTAGCTTCCCGAGAATGGATTGCATCCAGGTGTGCACGAGCACACCTGGCCAAGCATTACATTTAGAAATATAAACACTACAAGTAAACTTTGGAACATCATATTATATGTCTCCAAGCAAGGAGAAAGGGAGAAAAAAGTCCAAACCAAAAACACCCAATGCCATTTGTAAATAAGCTTCTAAGAACTCTTCAGTTGAACATTTATTAGCACGAATGACAGCTCAATTTGTAATTAAAAAGGAAAACTGGATAGTGCAGGCAGATGATTTTGCAGATGTCTCCAAGTCCCTTTTTTTTTTTTTTGCACTGGGTTTGTGATTCCATTGGTGTAGCAATTTCCTGGTGAGGAAATTCCTACTAATGCAAAGAGGCACATACTTGGCGACTGACTACAGAGCCCTGGAGTGCTGCAGAGCACACTTCAAGGTTAAACGACTTGCCTCACGTCACCTAGCCCAGATGTGTCTAAGGCCCGACTTAAACCAAGGCCTCCCTAACTCTGAGACTAGACCACACGGGATTTCCTATATCCACATCTGTCAACTTCACAAAATGAGTAAGAAACAACTTCCTGTCGTCACAACTATACTGTGCTAATCCTAAATCTGATCCACCCCACCGAACAGCTTCAACACACAGAAATCAGTCAACGTTCTGGTAGCATGTCTGCCACCTGACCAACCAACTTAGTCATTCCTTGGTTTCTTAGTCCTGGCTCTCAAACTCAACAGGATAGAGCTAAATGAAAAAGCCTTTTATTTTTCAATTTGACTCTAAAATGTCTTTATTCTAGCTAATTTCTAAAATTTTAAAAGGAATAGCCTACCACCCTAGTAAGATTTCCATCCAGGTTAGTAAACAAACAAATAAACAAATAGATGGGCAGACTCACTTTGGGGTAAAAAAAAATCGTGGGATCATTACTATCATCATTACTATTACTGCTGTTGCTGTTTTAACAATAAATTTATATTTACATATTACTATGTGTGTACATATGCCTATATTATGCCCTAGCCAATGTATGCAAAGCCCTAGAAAAACTTTATTAAAGTAGAAGAAAATGGCCCCCAAAACACTCAAGTTGACTGACAGATATGCCATCAAGCTTGCATAAAAATATGCCTCACAGAGCTGCATAAGTTTGACCAATTGCACAGGTGGGTAACAAAGTCTTGACCCTCATCCACAAGGTGAAGGCCTTGGGGAGGAAAAGATGACTTTGATTATGCTTTGACAGTTGGAACTCAGCTATTTTAAGACTCAATGAGTGATCAGCTGTTCTGATATCCAGGAAAGCTACTGAAACCCAGTATTTCAACATTTAACAAACTCTTATCTGTCTCCACTGGGGAAGTTACCATAATGAAGGCAAATAACAGCTTCTCCAATGTTTCAATGAACCTTTCTGAGGCAGATGCCATTGCAGTTTGACAGGGAGACAGGTTCTCCAAGTCTAGGAAAATGTGGAGTAAAGTGGCAGATAAGTCAAGATCCCAAGCCTGGGATCATTAAAGGTGGGACCCTTTCCAGGCAGCAAATGATCTTATCTGTATATATTTATTTACTAATTGGTTAGAATTCATGGGGTTTTAATCTTGGGCATCACACAGCTATAAAGCAAAAGACACAAAAAAACTGAATGAACAACTAACATATAACTTTTAATCCTAACGAAAGCTAGGCCTCAACAAGTAAATTAAATACTCTTTCAACTGTTCTATAGCTATTCTCTAGAAAAGAGTTGAGGGAGGGGGGAAAGGAAGAGGAATGAAAAATATTAAAAACCAAACCTGGTCATGGTTCAACTTTGGGAGGGAGCAGAGAGAAGTGCAGGAGGGAGGGAAGGCAGGCCAACTTTAAGCACAATTGCTATATAGTAAGTACATGTGTGTGATAGGTATACACACACACATATGCATGTGAGTGTAAGCATACTCTTGTATATGTCTCATTTAATGTTCAGAAATCTAAAGGGTTCAAGTGACTTGCCCAAGGTCAACAAAGCAAACAGCAGAGCCCCAAGCCCAGCCCAGCTCAAAGGTTTTCCACTACTGCACTGTCTGGTGCACTCACTGCTATGGAATGTTTTGGAAAAAAAAAAAGATAAGCCACCAGTTAGTTTTCATTTGTAAATAAGGAAAGAATGAATTTTATCTACAGAAAAACACCAGGCACATGTATGGCAAGACCTTGTACTGACAACTAAGAATACTAAGAAAAACATTCACATTGGAAATGTTGGCTATTAAAGAATTAATACTACAAGGAGTGGAATTTAAAAATACTCCCAGAGGCCCAAGCTTTAATGCAATGCATTTGAAAAATCCATATCGTAAAGAAAATAAATAGGATGAAAATGTTTACCTCAAAGTAAAATTATAACAAAAATTTTCCATCAATTGATATGTCTGGTCCCTCTGGAGTTAAAAGTATCCAAGTATTTCATTGAGGCTAGCCCATTATTTTTATAGTGTTTTTCTTCTGAAAGACTAATAATTATTCTTTTAATTTACAGTCCAGTCAATCGCAACACTACCAAGATTCCTAAAAATCTCTATTTGAAGAAGCATGAAACCAAACCGAGAGGGGAAAAATGTTTTAAATCTTGGTGATGCTTACAGTATATGCTACAACACAAAAGAGTTTTGTTAACGACATCTTCTAAATCTACAGCTAAAATAAAGGTTCCTGCGACCTTTAAAAAATAAATAAAATACTAGATCAACAAGACCAGAATTGTTTTGAACTTCACAGGACCAAATCCCTTTCATAAAAGGATTGGTTCTGTAAAATGTGGACTCAGTCAAAAGGCCACACTTGAGGACCCAGAAGGCCACACGTGGCCTGGAGGCAGATTTCCCTCCCCCAAGTTCACCTCCATGCCATAGGGAGCCACAGGAGAGTAGGACATTTAGTGAACCATGAATAAGCAAGGAAAAAAAAGCACACACTTCACCTAGGGGAGGATGTTTCCAATCACTCAAAGAGCTGAATGTGAATCTGCCAGAACTCTAGGTTCTCACAAAAAGGCCTAGAAGGAATGGGGCAGAAGTGTCTCTCAAATCAATATTCACTGGTTTAAAAATGGGGCAGTTACTGTGACTTCAGCTAGCATGTCCTTGGGAAAGGATAGCTTTTGGTAATGATTACTATCTTGGAAGATGGACTATCTTTTCCCTTTGGGTTCCTGTAATGCCTAGAAGCTTTCAGACTTCCCTAAAACACTCCTAAGAACCCCAAACATCCTATCAATAATTGTCAACTACCAGACTTTTATTTTCTCTTCCTTCCAATTCTTAAAAACTGGGCTATGAAAAAATCTCTTATTATTTACACTATAATTATCTGCATAGCATCTAAACCTTGAAGCCATGAACAAAAGATGATTTTGAGGGAAAAAGAAAGAAGTAGCCAAAGAAAACTTTTAAGAGTTGCTAGGCTTGTGAGTTTAGAACAAAATAAAAATCATAGGAGAAATAATACACCAGAAATCATTCGAGGTGATTTTTTAAAGGGTTTGCTGGCTCCACCTCCACACAGGCTGCCTAGCCTCACAGTACTTACCCTCACCCTCCTTCCCTTTACCCTCTCCAGCTTTCCTTCAAGTTTTGTCTTCCTTTATTAGAAATGAAAGGACCTTATTGTTTCCATATCGCTGGTACTTAGCACAGTGCCTAGCACACAGTAAGCATTTAATAACTGTTCTCTCTTTGATCTAAGCTCCTACTGGTGTCATAAGCATGCTCTTAATAGAATATTTGGAAATGCAAAGGCAAAGAAAAAAAATATTTCAAGACTACTTTTCCAAAATCAAATGTACACTGAGCATTTTTTACAGAACATTTTGCTGTAAACGTATAATTCTTAAGGAGTGGTCATGAACGTTGGATCTCTAATTTCTGTCCTCAGCCAGTTCCAAAATGCTAAATCTAAACATCATACAGGATCAGAGTCAGAGCTAAAAGGGATGTCGGAAGTCATTTAAGTCCAACGTGCTCATTTTGCAGAGGAAACTGAGGCCTTGCTCTGGGTCACAAAGGTAGCAAAGTGAAAGTGCCTAGATTTAAACCCGGGTCTACACTCTAAATTCAGCAGTATTTCTAATGCAACAAAACCAAATCTGAGTGTCTGTATTCGTTGGGTATTTCCCATAAGACTGCAGAAATCAAATGTCATTTATATCACTCAGGAAAGAGAGTGGACCTGGGGATATGACTGGAAGGGCTCTGAAAACAGGAAGTGATTTCTAGCTCATGGGCAGAATTATCAGGGCTTTCATGGTGCATTTTAACTTGACTCTTCCATATTCTCATTTGGATGCAGAAAAACAGAAGTAATCTGGAAAGAGAAACGACAATAACTTTTCATACATTCCAACTACAGTTCAAGCAGTGTTTCCTATCTTTTTCTCATGGAGAAGAAGAAGCACACTGAATAGATTGTTAGAGTTAAGGCAAGTAGGGAAGGGTTGGCCTACCTCTATAAATTCCTATGTTCCAAGGTCACTGAGCACTTTGCATGGGAAGCAAGCTACTGCTTGTCATCCATCTGGGCAGCATGGTGTAATGTTAACAGCCTTAGTCTCAAGTCACAAGATTGAGTT